GGAGCAATGGGTGCCCCGCGCCCGGGCTGGCGCCGCGTTCGACGACAGAAGCGCAGCCCCAAGTGCGAGGGACCCCTCTAGCGCTGGTGGCTCCACAGGGGCAAACAGAGCACGTCCCAAAGTAATTCCCAGGCAGTTTTGTTTAATTTGTTGATTGTTTCCGTTTAAAATTCTTTGAAGGTGGTCGTGAGCGCGCTCAGCCCTAGGTGAGCGCCTTCCCAGTATTCAGCTACCCTAGCTGTGAAGTGTCTGGTGGCGCTGGCCTGACCTTACAGCTGGAAGCGGGCCACTTCTGAAAGACGCTGGCACTTGAGAATCCACTCTTAGGTCCGTGTGTCTTCCTTGTCCCTTTCTCTAAAAAAATAAAAGAGGCAGAGCAGGGCACGTACCCGAACGTAGGGTAAGGCGGGGTGCTCCGAGAGGCGCAGGAATTCCCCTCGCTGCATCCACAGCCCCTTCTGCAGGCTGTTCCTGGAGGAGAGTCACAGAAATCCTCCCTGGTTCTGGCTGCTGGCTTCCTTCCCTGAAAAGAGAGGTGAAAACGCGGCATCACGTCATCTGGGATGTGTTACTGCTCTCAAACGGGTTGTAACCCCTCGCTAAAGAGGGAGCTACTCTCTGGTTACCACTGCTTCTCTCGTAGAGACGAGTGCGTGGCCGTGGTTTCAGGGGATGGTGAGGGCCGAAGAACTAATTTCTAGTGTTGCCTAAACACATTTTAAAATGAAGCTGGTAAAGGTACTGCTTGGGTGGCTGCAGGCACCCTTGGCAGAGAAACTCTCTTCCCACTTCTCTCCGGCACAGGTGGTGATCGTGGCTCTTCCTGACAAGCTGGGGCCTAACGTTAAGGTAGCAGGGCAGAAATTTTAGATAGGCCATGAGGAAGAAAGAGAAAATCCTTCCTGTTTACTGGAAATGTTTCACTGTCGTAGTGTGGAGTATTTTTTTCTACATAGTGAGGTGCCAGCAGGCTGGACAAATAATAAACTAGGTTTGGAAATAAGGAATGTCAGTTGCCTTTATTTAACGTACCTATAGGATGTGAACACTGTATATAATAACAGTAAAAATATTTGTAGTTTTATGAATAAATAGGAGTATTTTTCTTCTCTGTCTAGAGAAGGCTGAAGCTAGGTGAGGATTTAGCGGTGCATTCACTTGCTGCAGACTCTGACAGAAACTCCTGGATTCTCTTGTTCAAGAGAAGCACAGACACGGAGCTTGATTTGGAGGGGCTCCTGGGTCATCAAGCCTAGTCACGTGCTGTCACTTTTTTGCTTTCGTGAGCACGTCCAGATTTCTCTCAAGATAATCAGTTCCCCCAGCCCTGTGTGGTCTCGCAGGGGGGCTCTTGCTGAACCCTGCCGTTCCAGGAGGCAGGAATCCTGTTCCCCGGCAGGGTCCTCGCCGGGAGTCCCTCGCGGAGGCCTGGCGTTGTTCCTGTGCTTGCTGAGGGTGTCTGCGCTGTTAGCCTGGCTGCTGGTCCTCAGCCTGGGCTTTCCTGTTTCGCGCTGTTGTCAGAAGGACAAACACATACGCCACCTCGGTGTTGCATGCGATGCGAAAGAAATGGGTCAAAATCCGCTTTGACGATGGTGTCAACTGTTACTTCTCTCAGCTGGTGTCGAGTAAGGCCCACGTGAGAGCAGATCCTTTGGCCTTTTTCCTGTTTTAGGTGAGGATCTGGAGCTGGTAACCTGGGTGTGATTTGCTTTTTCCCGTTTCCTCCAAAATAATCTGAGTTTGTGTAAGATCGTACCTCATAACATAATGATGTAAGAATACCATCCTGATGAGAAGGACCTAAATAATAACGTACAAGTCTTTTAATATTGCTTTAAAAGAGAGTACTCCGTAGGAAAAAGGTCTATTTATTTAATGCTAAACCCTCTGGCTTTAATTTTCTGTTGAAGCTTATCATTATGTCAACAAGGACATGTTTAACGAAGTTACTGACAGGTACATTTTTAAAAGGCTAGAAGGATATGTTACTAAATGTTATACATAGCCTTCGGAATTCATTGTTGCAGTAGACTGTGGAATTACCCACTTCAGTGATTAGATTCAAAAGCTGGACTGGATGATAATCTGCTTAATATCCTTTGTAAGTCTGCATGCAAAGATGAGAATAATTACCCTTACTTTAGTCTCCAAAGTGTTGCAGAACCTGGGTAGTTTCTTCCACCTCTCCTGTATTGTGTTGCTGGTGTTTGTAAGAGCGGTATGCGAAGGCACCCAAAGATTCGGCTGCTCCTGAAGCCATGGGAGCAGGCTGCTGCTTCACCCTGCGAGATCACAGTTTTTTCTAACTGTTGATAGTTATTAGTCAGATGCACAAGTTGTCCTGTATTTTCAACATTGCTGGAGTTAAGGACCTCAAATCTCCTTCCCTAACCCACTTTCTAAACTAGTTTAGCCTTTGTCATATTGCTACAGTCTAAATCTCATCAACACCCATAAATTAAACCACGAGATAAGAACAGAAACGTGGAAGACGTGTGGCTATGTAATAATAAAAGGTGAGGCAGAAGTCCTGCATTACAGCAGGACGTGAGGTGGTGTTTGCTAGCAGGAGACCCCACACCCAGCCCATCCGTCAGGGCTTTGAAGCCAAGCTGTGGTAGAGCAGACAGCGTTCCTGCAAGCCACGGTACTGTGGCTCTCTTCTCTACTGAAGGTTGTCTGGGCTGTAATGGGTTTTAGTCTCTTGTGAGCCAAGCTGAAGGCAGTGGCAGAGTTCCTGGTTGCTTCAATGAGGCCAGGATCTCCACCTGGCGCTGGTGTGGGATACATGGAATCCAAAGTGCTGTCCGATGGCTAAGCTAAAACCAACGCATCTCCTAGAAAACATCTGAATGCAGAGTTGATATGCGATACATGGATTCACATGTAGATAAATTAGCTTAGACAATCACCTTTTCATTAACTAGAGTTTGTAACCCTTTGGGATGTTTTATTATTATTTTGAACAGTGTTTTATCCCTGTAAGTGGAGTATTTTGTCTTCAAATAGATGGGTTCAGATTTAGAGAAACTGTTACAAAAGTTTTTTGGTGTTTCCTGTTGAGAATTACGTTGAAGAGGTATGGGTGTCTTGGCAAAGTTCAAGTCTACTAGTTTTTGGATAAGTTTCCAATATCAGTAGTATTTCTGCAGCATGGAAAGGATGAGCTGAAACAAAACTAGAGGATAATGTTAACAGCCTTGTGGTATCCCTCATGTAAATGTTTCCTTGTTCGTTGGACTGGAGGATGGATGTGTGCCGTGTTGCCTGGAACGGTATCATTTCAGTCAGAAGTCAGCGGAGGTCGAGAATGTTTTAAAGTAAACTAGTGTGCGTGGCAGTAAGCTGTGGTGCTTAAGGCTAGAAACCTATTTCTAATTTATTCCACACTGAGATAATCTGAAAATAGTAGGTTTCACCTGTTTTCAGTTGTTGGGATTTGTTTCCAAGCTGAAAATAGTGATACCTGTCAGGGAAGGCTTAATCCCAAATTAGTTCTGGCTTTACAAATAATTTAACTCTGCTGCAGAGGTTCATAGCTACATAATAATACGTGATAATAACTTTCTAAAAAGCATTAGTGGGTTTTCTGAGGCTTGACAGTATTTGAAGGAAAACAAAACAAAGAACCGCTTCAGATATACTTGTAGCACCTACAGTAGACAGGGTAACATGTTCGGCTTGAGTCATGTGAAGATCCCATTTTCTTAAAGAAAAAAGTATTCTGGAGGTAGAAGCAAACAGAAATGTCGTCTTCTTCAATGGTAAAATTGACAGCTGTTGCTTTTCAGCAAGCCAGTGCATTGATGACCGCGCTGAACGTGCGGTGGATCGCAAGCCTGCTGCTGGATCAAGCTGACTGGTTTTAGTGGGGGAACATCAATAAACAAAATCCTGTGGAAACAGTGTTGCAGGTGCGAGGAAAAGATGTGTTAGAAACTGCTTTTGATCTAGTCTGTATGTAAAATTGGAGCATGGGTGGGGTCAAGTTGCAGGGACAGTAGTAGGAGCGTGAGGATGAGTGCAGACAGGAGCCTAGAACCGGGGCAGAGGCGGGGGCAGGCAGGCAGGTTTCCTCTCCCTCGGACCCTCCCGGCCCGGTTCTTGGCCGTGGCAGTTTCTCATCCGGTGCCGTATTCCCTGGGAAGTTTACTCCTGGAGTTACAGGACTCGGAGTTTGTCAAGGGAAGCCTCCGTTGCTCTTGAAGCCTTCTCTGTGCTGCACACGCGCAAGCTCAGTATCTGGAAAAGCCTTTTCGTCTCCGTAACGCAGAACTGCACCTGGTATTTCAAAGTTTGTTCCAGCAACTGTTGCTCCTAAACTGGAGTTGCCGTAAAAGCTGACTAAAGGGAATATGGTGCGTTTGTTTTTCTTATGTTGTTGCTTGTTTCTATAGAAATGTCTTGTTTCTATTTTATAAATGGTGTCTAGATTCTTGCTGTGAAGTTAACCCAGTCTTTGTTTTTCAATTTTTTTGTTTAAACTTCCTCTAAGTATGTCACTTTTATTGGTAGCTGTTGTAAAGTACTTTTGGTGTTAGGAATTTTTCTAGTTTTCTTGCATTTGCTGTTTTCCCCCAGAGGAACAAGTTAAATTTAGCTTTTATCTGTTTTGGTTTTCATCTGGAAGTGAGGTATGATTTTTTTTCTCATTTCCTAATCTATTAACGTCATATTTAAATATCAGATTAAAATTAGCCTAGAGAAATTAACCTGGTTTTTTTTCTCTAGACAGTTGAAATTAATTTTGTTGTCTTAATAGTCTGTTGGCTGAGTATCAAGATCTTTTTACCGCTTACGTTTACAAGGTCAGACGCTAACTGTTAGCTTCGTGCTGGCAAAGGGATACCATTCTCTTCCTGCTGTGGTAGAGGAGGAGGACAATCAGAAACATTTCCAATACAATTATTTGCCCTTCTTGGGCAAATTTCACTTTCTTTTAATTGAAAATAAGAAATCTTCGGAAAGAAGAGAAAGGCGGGTGAAATCCTGGTCGCATGCCACGCATCACCAGTAAGGAAACTGTCTGTTTGCGCGTTGGAGGAGCAGGAGGCAGAAAGCCAGCGCCCGGCTGGCCCTTGGCTCGCTGGGTTCCGTGCCGGTGCCCTGCGACGGGCCGAGGCGGTGGCTCCCAGGAGGAGGAGGCCATGACGCAGGACCGTGCCGGTCGGTGCAAACCTGCGAAGCCTGTCCGTGGCAATACAGCGGGCAGTCGGATGGCCGAGCACCGGCAAGGCTGGGTGATTCCTTCCCCTGGGACTTAAGTTGCTAGCGACCTAACCATCAAATACCTGTAGCTGTGTGTCGGGGGGGGGGTGTCCCCATTGGCACCCAGCAGAAGCTGGTCTCCTGTTTTGGAGGGGAGGGAACTTGTGGTTTCTTCTTCATCTCTGTCATCTGCTCACTTTCTTCTCATATTTTTCTGTAAGATTGAGCTTGAAGTATTTTCAGGTTTAGTTTGTGTCCTCTGAAAAGAGTTGACTTTGTGAGGCTGTCTCTTCTGAACATTAATGCTCCAGCTTTCAGAAATATAGGAGTATTTTTCAGTAAGTGAGCGTGTTCCTAAAGTTGCATCTCAGTGGCTTTTCTGGCTTTTGAGTGTCTATAGGCTTCAGCTATCAGACACACCACCTGTTCCCTGGAGTAAAAATAACCATGATAAGAGTAAAGTAGATAGTGCAGAGGAAACTTTTTACTTGGAAAAAAAGGAAAATGTGTGGGTGGGTATGTAAATGTGATATCCCTGCATTTCTTTATTACACTCTTTTTTTTTATGGCTCATTTGGATGTTGTTAAACACATGGTTGTTACTAAACTCAAAAGGAGTTTGTTTCCTGTCCAACATGGAAATAATTCTCTTAAATATGCTGTCTCTTTTTCTTTCTTTTATAACTGTAAATGTGACCGATTGTGATCTGAGGCATGTTACAAACAATTGGGGGACACTGCTGTTTTTCTGTGTTGGAAATGAACTTTGTGGATATCTGTTTCCTACTCCCCTCTCTTTGCCTCCTTTGTCCAGCAGGATTTTTTCGACTGTAGAATCACAAGCTTGTACATGGAGAGCAGTTATTTCCCAAACCCGTTGGACTTTTCCCCTCCACTGCTGGAGTTCACATTTGTGTAATGCCCTTTCGAGCAGCTGGTGCAAGAAAAGCGAAACTGATAGACTTATGCTTGGCCTGGTGCTGTTGTCAAGTGCGGGGTGGGAATTCTTCAAGTTGTCTGAGCAACAGGAGACTGTTGGGGTTTCTTCAATTCATTAATCATGAAAAACAGGAAGAGGGATGTTATTTGGTTTGTTTTGAAGAATCTTGTACCTTCAGAGTAGTTGAATGGATTTTTTTTTTTATCCTTAATCTTCAGGTGGAGCAGGTTCCTTACGTTCGTCCACTCCCTCGTCCCACAGAACGAAGGCTGTTGAACTTCATCCAATTGTTTCGTGCAAGTCAGTTACTTAAGATTTTTTTTTTTACACACACACACACACACACAAAAATCCCAAACCAAACAAAGGATATAAAGACTCTTAGACAAAGTGTGGAAAACTCTTGACCAAGCTGCTGCTTCAGCAGATGAAATGCCTGGAAGGCAACGCCGTGACCACACCTGTTCTCCTCACACTGGTGCAGTGGTGGGGTTACAGGACTGAGGAGCATTGCGGTCACTTTGGAGCCATTCGGTTTGTGGTCCTCCCAGACCGCTCATCCAGCCCAAAGCTGCCGTTGCACAGATGTAGCAGCATTTTGTCACGTGTCATCTGCACGTGGCCAGCAAATCCGCCATGTCCAGCGAGCGTGGGGTGCCCTGGGAGTGGGGTGCCAGGCTCCATTGCTTGCTGAGGAAGATGCTGCAGCAGCAGCCATGCCGTGCCCCTGGGAGAAGCTGCAGGGACTTCCAGGCAGAGCTTGTTGGCAACGCTGTGTAAAGGACATCTGGCCTTTGTGTAAGGACATCACTGACGCTCTCCTTCAGTGAGCTAGCGTTGCTGATAGCAGAAAAAAGAAAGGCTAAATCTGTGCTTCCATGCTGTCTTTGATTAGCCACAAGAAAATAACTTCCCAAGTGTCTGGGGTAGGTTCATTCCCCCTTTGGATCCATTTGTCTTCTGCATCCTCCGAGGGCTTGGCAGAGCTATCTGGTGTGATCTGTATGTGGTCAGGGGCAGGAACTGTGCCTTCCCACAATTTGAGGTGAAAAGACCTTGAACTGGCTATGTTACACTTAGGAGGTGCAGACAGGGATCAGCCTTAAACGATTGTAAAAAGTTCAGTGCTAACTTCATCCTTCTCTCCTAGAGAGTAGCACGTGAATCATTGCAAAGATTGGTGTGTTCTGATGGGATCTCATCTTTCTCTGCATGGTCAAAACACCCTCGACGGGAAGGGGGCAAGCAAGAAAAAGTTCCTGCTGTCAGATTGGTGTGGAGTGGCCTCTGATCATGATTTACCCTGTGCTTTCCTGAGTTTAGGCAGCAGTGAGTTTGAGTGAATGTGGTGGAAGTTTGCCACAAGCAAGGGTTAGTTAGTGGTCAGAACACACATAATTTTGTGTGTTATGCTGATGACGAACATAACCGGTAAAGCCACAGCCGGATGTTCATTGGGTTCAGTAGGCGGACTTGACTTTACCTTCTCTGATGTTTTAAAGGTGGTCCAGGAAAACATTGTTACATGGGAGTTTTTTTCCAGAAGCACTGCAGGGATGTAGGAGCACCAGCTGTGCTGGAAGTGGACAGAACTTGCACTTAGTATCTCCTCTGTGACCTCCTCGGAGACTTTCATTCTGAAGAAAGGTCCTTTTAGGGCATTCTGCATCTGAGAGGGAATGTCATGGTTCTGCTTAAAGCATCCCAAGCCCCAGAGTCATTTGGCCATAACAGCTGGGTAAATTTGGTTACAAAGTTCCGTGGTAAAGCTTCTCAGAGTTTGGAACTTCCAAATTCTGACTTTCTGCCATTAAAGAGTGGGAGACGGCAGACAACAGCTTTGCTGATGAAAATATGCCATTTTGAATAGGGAGGGAAATCTTATAACACCAAACATCTGAAAGGACAAGAGGAAACTGGCTGCTTGATGGGAGCTTTTGGGCACTGCAGTAGGCCTGGTGAAGAACATTGTGCCTACGTGCCAAGCAGTGGGACACATCAAACAGTTTCCTTTCTGTTCCGTATAATAACTCTATTTTTATTTTTAAATAATTTAATGTCAAAATAGAAGGCAAATATGAAATAGAGTATGGAGTCCTGCATCCAGCTCTGGAGACCCCAGCACAAGAAGGACGTGGAGCTGTTGGAGTGGGTCCAGAGCAGGGCCACAAAGATGGTCAGAGGGCTGGAGCACCTCTCCTAGGAAAGGCTGAGAGAGTTGGAGCTGTTCAGCCTGGAGAAGAGAAGGCTGCAGGGAGACCTTATTGCAGGCTTCCAGTGCTTAAAGGGGGCTTATAAGAAAGATGGGGACAGGCTTTTTAGCAGGGTCTGTTGCGATAGGACAAGGGGTAATGGTTTTAAACTGAAAGAGGGTAGATTTAGATTAGATATGAAGAAGGAATTTTTTACAATGAGGGTGGTGAGACACTGGCACAGGTTGCCCAGAGAGGTGGTAGATGCCCCATTCCTGGAACCCTTCAAGGTCAGGTTGGACGGGGCTCTGAGCAACCTGGTCTAGTGGAACATCTCCCTGCTCACTGCAGGGGGGTTGGACTAGATGGCCTTTAAATGTCCCTTCCAACCCAAACTATTCTGTGATTCTTTGAAATATATAGGGTTGGGGTTTTTTTCGTTTAAAAAAACAAAAGCATTTAAAGAATATAAAATGAAAAGGCAATTGAGGCAATGAAGTCATACCTAGTGGCTGTATGTTTGTATAAAGGAATCTGCTAGTGTAATTTGCTTTAAGGGTGTTGATGATATCAGTATGTCTAAAATAAAATCGCTTAGATTTGACATTAGTTTGATTTACAGTAAGGAGTAATTCATTACAGCAATTTGATAAGAAACGTTAGGTTAGGAAACAAATGCTCCCCCAGCCCCTCTGAATTTCTTCATCTTTCCTGTCTTTGAAAGATGGAGGAAAGAAAAAAAAGATGAAGCAGACCTCCCTTCCGTTCCCTCCTGCCTTGTGGCAGATGAATTCTGGGGGTGCCCCCGGCACGGCACGTGTTAGCTGTGGGGAGAAGAGCTGCTGTGAAGGCCTCGGCAGCACGCTTGCTCTGGGGCTAGTGCAGGGAAAGGAGGTCCCTCCGCTCCCTCTTGATACGCAAAAAATTCGTGAAAGTCATGAAGCCAAGGCTGGGTTATTGATTTTTAAAACCAGCAACTTTCAAAATTTTGCTTTTAAATG